CAGTGCACCAACATGAACGTGCCGCTTAAGCGCAAACACGGTGCCCATACCATGGACCAATCACGAATGCTCCTCACGGTTTACTTACTCTCAGGGTCTCAGACTCTTAAATGGCCATCCATTCGGAGTTTCGGGATTATGGAAATCTTCTGCATGGCTCACCATCGGGAGTGGCGACATTGGCACTAAAGGATGGTTGGTTTTCTGTCAACCAAGATAGATGGTGGGCATCTTACGTGTGCATAAACAATTCTTCCATGAGCCGCATAGCCTTGCCAATATGCACCATGGCACTCTTTGCGCTCCATCGGATGATCAAACCGTGTCGACACAAGGAAGATAGCTATTCCAAGAACATCCCCAATGGCACGACTCAAGCAAACAATTTCACATGTTTCTCGTGCGCTTGGTTCCGCCAAGGGTCCGGTGGATCTGTCAGGTGTTGGTGCTGGATGACGCATCATTTGTTGTGGCAGGGATCAAGATCCGACTATCTGGATCCATCATCCAAGCGCCCCAGACATGGATAGAATCCGGTTGGAATGGTTGAGTATCTGCGGGTCGAGACTTCTTCTTCGTGGAGGGCAATGCCGCTCTAAGAAGAGATGCAATTTGGACTTAGATAGGGTTCCGAGAGCTTTAGATGTTCATTTCAACTTAGGATGAATCCATGTCTTCACCGGGTGGCGACTGGCGGCGGGGACCTCTGTGGTTGACAAAGCTTCTTCTGAATTTCTAGCTTGTGAAAGCTGAACTATCAGAAATAAGGTTTGTGACCCTCGAACGATAACTAGAACGTGATGCCTCAAAGTTGCATTGAGCTATGATACTTGAATATCGTCGCTCCCTGCGCCCACTTGGCAGTGTCAACGAAACTCTTTTCCGGATACTTAGGTAGCTAGGTCCGTCGCGAAACGTCGGTGAAAACTAACATGCGCGATCTCACAATTGTCCTCATCATCAATTGTCATCCCATGCTTTTGGACCGTGAGCTGGTGTCATGAAGCACGCGTAACAGTGATGGATGGTGAGATGAGGTAAACCCCGCGTGTCCCGGAGGTCTAGAAGCGGTCACCCGGCACTGAAGAAAACCAACCGAGGGAAATCGGCTAGGGGGGCCCTCACCCTCGGGAGTCGGAGTCGGCGCCGAGCATGTCCGATGATCGGGAGCTGGCATCTTTGGGTTTTGGTGGGCTGCCTGGTTGAATAAGGGGTTTCCAGACAGCCTTTTTGTGGAGTTTCGACGCGAACCAAGAGTTATAGTCTAACTAGATATAGTAATTGCCGAGGCACTGCCCATCAAAGCATCATAGCTGCTCTCCGAGTCGGAACTCTCGAAACCTCGATTAGATTAGATCTGGACAGCGCACAGCTCACGACTCAAGAGCAGCATATCCTACAAAATCCCATCTGCAGCCTCCATTTCTCCAGACAAAGTTCCCCAGTCCTTCACTTACCCCAGCCTACCATCCCCACACACAAAAGACACGATGCCGAATACCCCGGATTGGGTCAAGGCCCTCCAGCCGTCTGGCCCGCAGGGCACTGAGCTCCTCGCTCAAGAGCGCGGAAAGTCCAACCTCAACGTCGACCAGCTCGCGTCGTTCATGTTCACAAATGAGGCTCTCGAGCGCAGCGAGAGGATACTAAACATCCTGAAGAAGGAGCCTGTCTTTGACAAGACCCAGAACTACTTCCGCGGCCGAAATGCCCGTATCGAGGCTGCGCTGGCGAGAGGCAAGAGACTGTTCCAGTTGACCAAGGAGCACAACTGGTCTCAGCAAGACTACATCGTTGCCAACGACCTGATTGCTGAGCCGACACCGTATGGCCTCCACGCCAGTATGTTCCTCGTTACGCTTCGCGAGCAGGGTACTCCCGAGCAGCATGAGCTCTTCCTCAAGCCCGCCGAGAACTACGAGATCCTCGGATGTTACGCCCAGACCGAGCTTGGCCACGGCTCCAACGTTCGTGGCCTCGAGACCACGGCAACGTGGGACCCATCTGACAAGAGCTTCGTTCTGCACTCGCCTCACCTCACGGCCTCAAAGTGGTGGATCGGTTCCTTGGGCAAGACGGCTACCCACGCCGTCGTCATGGCCCAGCTGATCCTCAACGGCAAGAAGATTGGCCCCCACCCCTTCGTCGTGCCGATCCGCGACAAGAAGACTCACGAGCCTCTCCCCAACGTCCATGTCGGCGATATCGGCCCCAAGTTCGGCTACAACACCATGGACAACGGCTTTTTGCTGTTGAACAACGTCAAGATTCCGCACAACCACATGCTCGCCCGATTCTCGTCCATCGACCCGAACACGAGCAAGTACATCCGTCCTGCGAACCCCTCTCTCATCTACGGAACCCTCACGTGGGTGCGATCCAACATTGTCCTGCAGTCTGGCTCCGTCCTGGCTAAGGGCGTCACTATCGCCACCCGCTACTGCGCTGTCCGCCGGCAATTCCAGGACCGCGATGCGCCGGCCGGTGAGCCTGGTGAAAACCAAGTTCTCAACTACACTATGGTGCAGATCCGTCTGCTGCCCCTCCTCGCAGCCACCTTCGCCCTCCACTTCACTGGTCGGGGTATGATCAACCTCTACAATGAGAACCAGAAGCGCATGAAGGGTGACGTTGGCAAGCTCAGTGACGGTACCAGAAACCCCGGCCCCGAGGAGCTGAACCCTGGTACCGACCTCCTCGCCGATCTCCATGCCACCTCCTGTGCTCTCAAGGCCTACGGCTCAACCGTCGCAGGTGAGGGTCTCGAGATCTGCCGCCGCGCTTGTGGAGGTCACGGATACTCCTCCTTCAGCGGTATCGGTTCCTGGTACGCCGACTACCTGCCGACCCTGACCTGGGAAGGCGACAACTACATGCTCACCCAGCAAGTATCCCGCTACCTGTTGAAGTCTGCTCGCTCCGTTCTCAAGGGCAAGGCCGGCAACAACGACACCACTCGCATTCTCTCCGAGTTCCTCCGCCGCCGCGACATCGGCGCCGCCTTTGACGTGCTCGGCTCCGACGAGGACCTCGTCGCTGCCTTTGCCTGGCGCGTGTCCTTCCTCACCTTTGAGGCTCTCCGCCACAGGGACGAGGACAAGCAGTCCTGGAACAGCCTTCTCGTTGACTTCTGGCGTCTCAGCACCGCACACGCACAGTACATGGTCGTCAAGAACTTCCACCAGGCTCTCAACGACAAGGCCACCACCGAGCAGCTCGACAAGGATACCGTCGGTCTGCTGCACAAGCTCTTCAGACTGTATGCTCTGAACACCCTCGAGCAGGAAGCCAGCGAGTTCTACAGCTCTGCCGCGGTCACCGTCCGCCAGATCACTCTGGCGAGAACAAAGGCCGTCATGACCCTCTTGGAGGAGATCCGTCCCCACGCAGTCCGTCTGGTCGATGCCTGGAAGTTTGACGACTGGGTCCTGGACAGCAGTCTGGGTCGCTACGATGGCAAGGTGTACGAGGACATGTTCAAGCGCGCCAGTGAGGACAACCCGCTCAACAGCGTCGTGTTTGACCCCTACCCCAACAGCAAGGTGCTGTTCAAGAAGGACGAGAGAAAGGACCTGAGAAGCAAGTTGTAAATGATCTCACTAGACGGGAGACTATAAATGTTATACGGCGTGGTTAAATGTTTTGATTGTAGAATTACTAGCGCAACGCAGATGAATAGAATCTGGAAGAATGGAAGATTTCACTTAGCACTAGGTACCTGCAACGGCTGTGGGCTTTCCTCTTCTGCCATGAGCAACTGTGACTTTGGAGATCTGGTTATGTCAGGGCATTAGGTTTCAGGTGCATCATCTGGAGGTCGAGCGAGTAACTCGGCGACTCACGTATTATGGCAGCCGTATATTCCAACCAGTCCGGACAAGGCAGCGAGCCATTCATTTTCCTTTCTCCGTAATTGGGGGCGAGCCCAAAAGCAGCAGCACCTCCGCCTGAATTGAGATGGGCCGGCTGGGCTCGGGGCGTAGCGACGATCCCGCCAGCTTTCCAGACAATCAACTAAATCGACCACTCCGCCGCTCCTTTTTCTTTTAACTTTCCCACTTTGATTGACTCGATTTTGACTGACTCTCTACTTCTGTTCAACAATAAATGCATCAATTTCGTCTGAAATCTTGGCTTCCATGCTTCCATGATACTGATACCTAGCGGCGCAGATCTCGACTCTTCTCCTTGTTACTCCAGGTCGAACCTTAGCTACCTCCGTGCGAACTGATAAACCTCTCCCGGGTAAGACTGATTCGCTCTATTATACTAAAATTACTGGCTCCCAGATGGGTTCAACAGAGGCCCATCCATCCAAGGAAATAAAGCCGATCCCAAGACGAGAGTAGAGCCCGCTCGTGCGAGATGTGATGAGGACATAGAACCCGAACCCTTGGCTTTCCGCAAACATGGCATTATGCTCCCAGGTTCCAGGAAATTTGAGGCCAGCGGCGACGACCACCATGTAGTGGCTAGATCCCATGCTCAGACATTTCAACGCCCACTGCTTATGCATCGGCGCAGTCGCTCCTATCTTTGCACCATCGTTGCCATAGATAGTAAGCTGAACCCCGTTATCGTCCCCGCGAAGATAGGACCCTATCCGCACTCTGGCAACTGTGGTGTTGAAAACCAGACAACGAGGGTATTCTTCAGCCCTGGCTTTCGTCTTGCTGTCAAGCTCGGTGTGGTGGCGAGCTGCCATAGGACTGTGCGGAGACCGTTCCCACATGTCAGCCACGGAGATCCAAGATGCCTCTTGTCGAGGGTCCTTGTATTCAGCCACCTGACTAAGCTCTCCCCTGGGTTGAAAGAAGGCTTCAAGGTCTCGCTGGAAGTCTTCCTGCCGCACAGAATCATCGATTCGATCTTCTGGAAACCAGACCTTGCCTTCACATATGTTTCTGAGCCTAGAGGGGCTAGTTGACACTGGGTCACAGTAAAAGAAGGAGACGAGATGCCCAAAGTGAATCTGGTACATCGGGTCCAACCAGTCGCCGTCAATTCTGCCTCCGAGGGATCGTTGATAGATGACAGAGCCCTGCCGAGTAGCCCAGGTCCAAGATGGAAGTCTCAGCCCTTCGATCGTGCGATATGTAACGCCCAGAGGAGAGCAAAATGACCACAGGAGGCTGTGTGCCAAGTACCTCTCCGGAAGGCCTAGCAGCATCTGCGTTTTAGCCCGGGCAGCGACAACATTTCCGACGCCGGCAAAGGCGCTCAGCACGTCTTCTCGGCGGCCGAGTGTGCGTTTGGTGTACTGGTCCACGAGAAGCGGGTAAAAACCGAGAACCCCGTCATCGCTGTACTGGTCGGATCGTAGGCCCTTTTCGAAACCTCTTCCACCCCAGTCTTGACCTACCATAGTGACACCGGGAGTCTCTGATTCGCCCTGTGGTCGATAGTGCTTGATGTCCGGATATCTATGAAGCTCAGAACCCTCGTGGAAGCAACTGAAATAGACGTGCCCGGAGCTGAAGAAGATGTGTCGCCGGGAGAGCAACTTCTCCTGGAATGTCCACGCTCTCGAGTTCCATTCGCTGGAGCTGATAACCTGGTTCTCGCTGAGAGGGGCTATGCCGACAACGGCGTGGTCCATGGCAGAGCTCCCGTCCGATTTTGTGCCCTCAACTGCTTTGGGCACATGTTTGATGAACTGCCAACAGTGGTTCTTATGGGTGGAAATGTTGGGCCGCGTAGTAAGTCCAGGTAACCCAGCACCAACACCATTCGCAGCTGCAACAATGGTAAATTCTGCGAGTTGATAAATGTCATTCATAGCGTTGATCTGTGCCATCTTGAGATCTTCATTGTCTTGCAGGATGCACAAGCGATCAACCCAAAGGTATTGCTGTCTCATGTTCCTACATAAGTGGATTGCGTCCCCAACTACTTCTGGCAGCAGTTCAGGTACAAGAGAATCTGTTCGTTTCAACTTCTCTGCGTTCGTCATTGTCAAGTGAAGGTCCCGATCCACTGAAGCAGTTGCAAGCCGCCATGTATAACTCAATGCCACAAAAGGAGCAATGGTCTTTGGCTGGATAATGCGTCTGCGTTTAGTGTCGATGACGCGGAACCCTACAGGAAGTTTTGATTCTGTCAAGGGTTCGTTACATTTGGATCCGTGGTAGGCCTGGCAGCCCGCCAACCAGCTGTGGAGGAGGCTGACGTTGATGTATCGCCGATCCCAGGGCTCTGCCAGCACAAGCTGGTTTCCGTCTTTAGTCCCATACTGAAGTCTAATCCCCAGGACCACGGGCCGGTAGGCGTGATTTATTTTATTGCCAGCTGGCGGTGTAAGCCCCGAAATGCAGATAGCCAAGGCGCAGCTCTCTGCAAAGGGCGAAGTCTCATGTGCCCTGTTGTATATGAGGGTACGAGAGCTTGGGTCCGTCCTACGACTTGGGAAGAGCCCACATACTGCGAACTTAGTGTCATCGCCGGCGCCAGCTACGGTGCTCAGCTCGGAGCCGATGAAGCTGCATATCATACACTCTGGGTTATCGGCGGTGTTCCTCAACGATCGAAAGGTCAGAGACTGGAAGCCGTAGGAGGCAGACTCTGATTCATCAAAGTCGGGATCGAAAGCTGAGACGTCCACGTCTCGTGAAGCGTAGTGGCAGAAGACAACATGGAAGAAATCATTCCAGGGCTGGCAGCCATTGCAAAGACGAAGACTGGGAATGGGTTTCCTGCCATCTGAACAAAAATTGCAATCTTTCAGGCGGCTACCGTCCCTGCCGTCTAAGGTGTAGACATGCTTGTGGCATTTTTTGCTCATGGTTGGGTCTTCAAGTTGTCAGATGATGTCTTGCATTGCAAGTGAGCGAATGGATAACAGAGCCAGGCAGCCGTCAGAGGAGTTCATCAGACTCCAGAGGCTGCGGGGTCGCGGGACTTTGGACATCATTGGCCAATGATGAGTGGGTAGACGGGTGGGCGAATGGCGTATCGTGAAGCTCTTCCAACCCATGTAACAGGGGCTGAATGCAAGTTTCCTCCCTCAGTGAGGCCTTTGCAACCTTCATAGCTTTAGCTGAACTAAATCGGACAATCCAGGAGTGTTCCGAAGCTCAAGAGACTTACTTTAGTGGCCTCCTCGTTGCTGGAGAGAAGTTGACTGGGTCCATGAGTTCGATTCAATATAGTTCGTAATGCAAGCTGCTGGCCAAGATCCGTCTTTGGAAAGATACAACTTCCAGGATATGACAACTTCTGGGGACAGCCATTACTCATTAGCTATAATGGTAGAAGAAGCGACTTTCAACTTGGAACATATTTCTGCGCCTTCACCGGAGCGGACTGGACCAAGAGCCATTTCAGCAGGTACCAAAATAGTTTACTGCTCGGGACCTTGTCTCAATTTCTACTACTCCTGCGCCCCCTCCTACTGCCGACACTACTACTGATGCTCATATTCCTATCATTCCTATCATTACTACCGCAACTCATTCCATCACTACTTTTTCTTTGTTGATATTATTACTATCCCCCCCCCCCCCTTTTTTTTTTTTTAACTTCTTACTCTTCATCTTTTCCTCCGAGAATACTATTCAAAAGCCTAATATATTCTAATAATACTACTAGTGGTATCAGTTATAAGAGGGGTGCAGCAGCTGGGAAAATCAAGGCAGTATTCCTTTCTTCTCCCTTTAGCTTTCTGACTGCCTTATGGAGAACTTTGGACCAAAAGCTCCATGTATACTCCTGCGTGTATACCTTGGTTCATGGATTCATTGGTTGCCGCATTGCTGATTAGGAACGTTTGCTCCAGTTGGTTGTGGTTTTTGGCGGGCACATGTGCCCTCCCCAGTAAAGTGACGTCAATAGCTCCCCACCATAGCGGTCTAAGACAAGCTCCCGTCAAGCTCCCCCATCCCTTCGCACGTAAGGCAAGGTATCTTTCAACTTCTTTTCCTAACGGTGGCCTACTACGTATAATTTTCCTTCTCAAGAAATTTCCCCTACAGACACCTTGCACTGCCACGAGCGGGATATCATAGACCTACCTGGGCCCTTTGGCCTTCAGCCGCCACCATGCAGATTCGGAGCACCTCCATCTCGTCCTCGATCCTAGCAGCCATCTCAGGCGACTCCAGCAACTCCGACAAACCAAGCCTCAAAAAACGCATCTTTCGCGTCTTCACCTCCTTCCTCTCAGTCTTCCATCTCCCTCTCGCCCGATATCGCGCCGCCGACTTCCTCGAACTCCGACACAATGTCTGGCAATTCGATGAAGACGAGTATACGAACTCCTTCCACCTCGCAAAGAAGGCAGCTAAGGGCAAGGGCCGCGAATCCGATCTCGTGCCTGTCGGGGATCTGGGATACAGCGGCTCGACCTTCTTCACGACGGCCGATGGGAAGTTCCTTATCAAGTCGCTACCACGCCGGTTTGAGCACGAGTTCTTCACCCACGACTTGTTTGACGCCTACGTCGCGCATATGAAGACGCACCCCCACAGCTTGTTGGTTCGCATCACCGACATGGCGTACACCGCGAAAGCGACGCTCGGTGGCATTCTCGGCATGGCGCCGACGCACCACATCATCATGGAGAACCTGATGTTCGGCAAGAAGGAAGAGGAGACCGATCATCGCAGGAACCAGTGGGAGACGTACGACCTCAAGCCGAACGATTACTTCTTCCCCGAACGGGACATCGCCAACGGGAACCTAGCACCACAGAGTGTCAAGGAGCGGTTGATTGACGAATTCGAAGACAAGGTCCGCGTCACACCTGCCCAGAAGAAGGAGCTGCTCGAGCTTCTCGAAGCCGACACCCAGCTCCTGGCCGAAAACAACGCCGTCGACTACTCTCTCTTCATGGTGCGCTTCCCCGGTCCCAACGTGCTCGATGAAGCCCGCGACGTACCCACAATCCAATCCGATGCACCTCCCTGGCGCACCGGCCTGACGGACGCCGATGGCAACTGGACCTACCGCATGATTGTCCTCGACTTCTTCTGGGCCAAGCACAAGTTCCGCGCGAAGGCCATGACTGGGCTGGTCAAGTCATACAATGTAATCGCCGGCCACGGCCCCATGAGCATCACTGCCAACCCTACGGAGTACCGGGAGAGGTTTCTCAACATGGTTCGGGATTTCGTCGTTGAAGCATAAGACAATTAATCAACGAGTACCAGGAGGGGAGGTTGGAGGGTTCCCCTTGGCCATCGAGTTATTGGAGCGCGGCGTTGGGCTAGCATGTATACCCCCTTTCTTTGCGTAGCGTCAGTTTCCTTTTCCAAAATTTGAAAGATACCAGATTTCAGACGATGCTTTCCGATACACGTGGTCATATTTGTCCCCCCCCCCCCCACCGAAGTATTGCGAAGTGTTTACTTCATTTCAAATGACTCTTCCATCAATATACATCATCAATTCCGGTGATGCTGTTATAAGTTCTTGGAGCCTTTGTAACAAGTTCACTTCAAACTACACGCACTCACTTCACTTCACTTGATTTCTTTCACTTGATCTCCTTCACTGGATCACCTTCAAATCGTACCTCAAGTCACAATGAATTGAGACCAGAGTCCTCTCATAGGAACTTTACCTCGTTACATTCGCTCATATCTTACTTTCCTTCATGATGACTTGTCTTGCCATGAAGAATAGCCTGCTCGAGCTCATCTGTGACATTCAAAAACCAGTAGCTAGTAGTATTCACAATTCTTTGGGATCGTCTGCACCCAACCGTACCACATTCGATGATGAGAACAGCCCCTTCCCCTCTTAGGAAACCCTTCCAGGCTGTGACTGCTTGCTCTGATATGTCTGGTCTAGTCCCGGTGGTCTCTGAGCAATGGAATCCAACTTCCCCCATGTGAAGTCCCCGTCTGGCATTCGCTCTCGAAGTTGATCTTTAGAGCTTTTCCGTCTACCAGTGTCCCCGCATGGCCTCAGTTCCCGTCTCCGGCTGCAAGGCTGCCCTTAGGGTTGTAAACGTCAGATCCTTTTCTCAGCTCACCAATCCTCTTCTTCTCTTTCTTTTCTTTTCCTCACCCTCACCTACCTCTTCTCCCTTACCTCCCCCTCTTCCTGTTCCTCAGCAGCTTCTCTCTTCTTTCTGGCATCTAGAGAGGATCTAGATGAGAAGGGGGCTTCTTCCTTTACTCTCCTTTCCAACTTCGCCCTTTTCTTACCACCAACCTCCTCGCCGCCTCGTACTTCTCGACTTTCCCCTTGGCTCCGCGATTAGCTCCGCGGTAGCTCCATCTCTACTGAGTCTACCTCTGAGTGGAGTCTAAAAGAGAGGGAATCTCTTCCTCCAGCCTCTCCTTGGGGTCTTCTTCCTCCTACCTACACATCAACACTCAGAGACAGCACTTTCACTTGCCTTAATATCCTTGCTTCTCCATTTCGGAGTACTCAGGTATGTCGTCCAGGCAAGAGCCTCATTCACCCTTGAAATCGGCATTCAGCATCATTAACATATCTCAGGCCGTCTAGAGTCTTTCACCTGAAGCACCTCTCTTCTCTTCTCCCAGACCAAGTCTGCTTCTGAGTCTTGGCCTCGATTCTATAGAACAACCGCACAACAATACAGCAGCATAGACATAGAGACGGAGATTCCGCCTTGTTTTTCGGCGTCGTTGACATTAGCATCGGCGCGCCTTGGCTCTTATAGAACAAGCCTTCTATGAGCTAGTTATCGGCAACGAAACAAGATCATCTAGGTCAATCTTCAACATCCTCTATCTCCCCGACAGGTAGCAGCAACACTGAACGACAGAAACCACCCCAGGGTGATTTCTCTGTCTACTTCAACCCCTGACTTCTTTGGGTCAAGAC